CCCGCCCCTGTCCCACCCCGCCCCGCCCCTCACCATCTTCCTCTCCACCGTCTCCAATAGTGCTCCCTGGGGGCTGCCCAGACTGTGACGCCGATGCCCTGCAGGGGGCGCTGCTGTGCGTGGAGCGCCACTACGCTGCCCTCTCTCTGCCAGGGGAGACCTCCTTCAACCGCTCTGGCACCATCCTGGAGAATGCCGCCGACATCGGGGGGCTGGCCATCACACTGCAGGTGACTCGTCCATGAGCAGACTGAAGGCCTGTCCTCAAGGGTCCCTTCTACTGTCCCTCGTGCATGGCCACATAGCCTTCTGCCCCTCACAACCCCACTGCACAGACTGCCACGTGGGGATCCCCCGGCTGTCCCTTTTTGCCTGCTGGCAGGCCCCTTCTTTAGCTCAGACAAGTGCAGAACTTGGCCGGGTGGTTATGGGTGCCATGTGGACGGTCATGGGCCTGGGGGCTGAGGGCTGCTCTCCCCACCCCACATGCAGGCTTACCACAAGAGGCTGCTTCTGCAGCAAAGGGAAACCACCCTGCCCCGCCTGGGCCTCAGCCCGGAGCAGCTCTTCTTTCGAAGCTACGCCCAGGTAGGCAGTGCCTCGTCCACCCCTATTGCAGAAGCTCCAGGGATCCTTCCTTCCCTAAACACCCCGCATCAAGTGCCCGCAGCCCTCCATCACAGACTCCTCCCCACACCTCCTTCTCTCGTGTGCCAGCCTTGAACATCCTTTCAGATTATAACAGAGTTCTACCAAATCCAGCCCCGCAAAAGAAAACAATACAAGAAAACCCCGAACTCCTGCACTCAAACTCCTGCCTGAGATGAGCCCGCCTTTCTCTTCTTCTGGCCCAGGGACACAGACCCCTTGAAAAGGGGTGTCTGGCAGACTGTCTGCACACCACATACCCCCTCCAGGTCTCACCCCACCTGTGGTCCCAACTGGACCAAACCAGTCACTGTCGTGTTGACTCCGTCTCCCAGCGACCCCACATGTGTCAGTGTAGAACTGTGCTCCAGAGCGTTTTCCGTGGCTGATTTTTCGGAAGTAGATCACCAAGCTAGGAGCCCTGATGGCACAGTGGTTAACACTCAGCTGCTCACCAAAAGGTTGGTGGTTCCAACCCACCAGCTGCTCCTCGGGAGAAAGATGTGGCAGTCTGTTTCCATAAAGATTACAGCCTTGGAAACCCTATAGGGCAGTTCTACTCTGTCCTATAGGGTCGCTATCAGTCAGAATTGACTTGATGGCAGCCAGTTTGGTTTGGTTTAGATCACCAGGCCTTTCTTCCAAAGTTCCTCTGGGTGGACTCAAACTCCAACCTTTAGGTTAGCAGCTGAAGGCATTAAACTTTTGCAGCACCCAGGCCTAACCTGAAATACCACCTTAAATACTTTGGGGCTCCCTCAACTGTCACTGTCCCCAATTCCTCAGTACACTAGATGCCCCCATGCAAAGTCCTTCCTGTAGCACCCCCTGTCACTCATAAGTGGTGTACTGCACACCTGGACCCTCCCCTAGGCCCCGCCTGCTCCATGGAGTGGCCTGCAAATGGCAAACCCCCCTCCTCCACTTGGGCCCAAGACTCTTCCCATCCCCGCTTCATTGGATCACCTGGCCCCATGGACCTGCCTATACCGCGCAGCTCTCCTCACCTGTCACCCTTGCTGCCTTCCCAGGTGATGTGTGGGGAGCCCCGACTCCAGGACCCACGGGACCCGCACAGCCCTCCCCCACTTCGAATCCATGGGCCGATCAGCAACACCCAGGACTTCGCCACGCATTTCAGCTGTCCAGAAGAGGCCCTCATGAACCTCAGCAGCCGCTGCGAGCTCTGGTAACCTAGCTGCCTGAGACCTCTCAGTACAGACGTGTCAACATCCCTGACGCCATCCGCGGGGGGGACAGGACCATCTCCCCTCGCCCCTCCGCTCCAGAAATTAAAGGTGGCCCTGGTTCTGCCTGCTTCTCAGTGGTACCTTCTTGCTGCCCTTCACCTAGAAGCCCACAAAGATGAGAGAGAAACGCAGCAGGGTTCCGTACACACGAGGGAAGGAAGAGGCAATGCTTGGTGAGCCGGAGGGTCTGAAGGCCAGAAAGAGGGTCCTGGGGTTGGACAATTAACCGACTAGTTAGAGACAAAAGGGCTCTGGTTAAGTCTCAGCAAGCCGCCCCCCATTGGTGTCAGGGTTTTATTGCGATTGCTTTGATTCTTACCCCTCTTCCTGAGCACCACGCGGGGGAAGGGCGAGGGTCTGGGGTCTCTGACCCTGGATAATGAAGCTCAGAGCGGGGGAGGCAACAGGGCAGGGCGGTGGCAGCCGGAACGACGGCCCCAGCACCTCGGTGCTGCCTCAGAGATGAAAGAGGTCAGTACGCGATCATGAAGCGAAGGTAGAGATCCAAGTCCTCGTCCAGGAACCAGGCCACAACCTCAGCCTCGATGTCCCTCATAAAAAAACCATGATGCTGGCCAGGTTCAGGCAGAAGGCCAGGTCAAAGAGGTGGTCGCGCACCGCTGCCGCTTCCGCCACCTCGTCCTCCTGCTGGGTCATGTCCAGCTGCTGCCACATCTCCCCTACTGAGGAGGCCACGAAGCGCTCTTCAAACTGCTCTTCGTCCTGGTCTGGGCAGGAGAAGGGGCCTGACACAGAGTCCCGCCTGCCCCAGCCTAGCCCTGGCCTGGACCGGGGGGGCACGAGGTTAGAGAATGTGGGGATATTGGGCTTTCACCCCAATGACCTCTTCTGACCTTTGTTCAAGCACTGCCCGGACTCCACCCTCCTCCTCCAGGTGGGGGTGAGGGCCCTCCCCAGACAAAGGCACTTGTGCTCACATGCTCACACGCACACACAAGCACGCACACATGCACGCATGAAAGTGGCACTCAGTCTCAGCTAGCCCGGCCAGGAACCCAGCCCCAGACCCACAGGCCTACACCAGGGAACCCTTACTGTCTCCCATTGCCCAAACCCAGCTCAGATAGTAACCTCGGGCCTCATCCCACACAGCTCTTTCCCCTTCCTGCTGCTTCCTCTCCTCCCCCCCCTACCCACCTGTGGAAGGCATGCTGTCTTTCTGGCTGTTCTCGGCAGGGTCTGGACCCCCCTTCTGTGGCCTCACCTCCTTTACCCGAAGCAGCAGCATCAAGATAGTGGCCAGGAGCATGGCCCTGCGGAGCTGGGGGTCCAAGGGTGTCATGCGTCTGCCCGCACCCTGCTTCTGGCCTCCCCTGGCTCCCTGGTGCCTGTCAGCCTCCCCAGCCCCAGCCCGGCCCTGCCCTTACCCCTGCCCAGTGCCGTCTTCTTCCTGTCCCTCCCATGGGACCTCTGACGTCATGGGCTCTGTGATGTCACAGTTGTGGTCCTGACCCCCCTGCGGCTCCTGGAGTGTTCCATTACCCAGCAAGGGAGAGGGCAGCTAGCAGAAGACAACAGAGGCTTCTGGGATGACCAGAGTGGGTCGTCTGAGGAGAGAAACAAAAATATTACTGAACATTTTGGTCTAAGATTCTATAGAGGAATCCTGATCAAAAGGAGAGAAAATGTAGAACAGAATTTCAAACTCTCTATGGAATCCAGACTTTCTGGATCTGTTAAGGCTGGATGAGCCCCCGAAACTGTTGCTCTGAGATAATCTTTAAACCTTAAATCTTCAGTCAAAACTATCCCCTGAAGTTTTCTTTGAACTTAAAAACTAGACTATCTTAATTAGTAAAGTACATCCACTTTGAGCATTGTGCTTTTTTAAAGAATTATCTATGTGAGATCAAATTGACAACAGCAACTCTAAAGGTTGAATGGGAAGCTTAGGGGGCAGTGAGTTTAAGATAATGATGGTGGGATAATGAGGAAAAGGATAGGGAGAATGGCAGCACAACTTGAAGAATGTAACCAATGTCACTGAATTGCGCATGTAGAAATTGTTGAAATGATATCTCTTTGGCTGTGTATAGATTCACACCCACACACACAAGACTGAAGAGTTGACAAAGCGTGCCCACACCCATTACATCATTAGCTCCACACAGCAACTGGGACTCCAGAGTCTTAGCACTGTCATGCCTGTTATACAAATGAGGACAAATAAATGACTCTCCCAGTCAAGGCCACACAGAGAGTGAGTGATGGACTCCTTTGAGTCTAAATATCACATCCCTCCCATTACCTGCTGTAGCCTTTCCCTCAGGGAAGCAGCTGGCATGTAGGAGGTCAGGACAGAGGCAGAAATGAGAGTCCTCCATGACGAGTCCTGGGCTTTACTTGAAACTGGCCCCAGTGGTGGTGGTATGTTGGGTGGGAGGTGAGGAAAGGGTATTTGCTCCCTGCGTGTGTGAGAGAGAGACAGTGGGTGTGCAAGAGGGGTTGGGGAGAGACATGGAGTGCGAGAGAGGCAGAGAGGCAAGGAGACAGCCGTGCAGAGAGCAGGCAGCGCTGCGCCCAGGCAGACCGTTCTCTGCGTGCCTTGCTGCCCCTCAGCCTCCCCTGCTTCTTCCCTTCTCCCAGTGGTCCCCGCTAAAACCAACTCTCCTCCTCTTAGAACCAGAGAGAGCCCTGCAGTTTCCCAACCCCGGCTTGGGGGAAGGCATCAGAGTTTGCATGCAGGGGCTGCAGCAGGGCAGGCCAGCGGGTCTGCAGGCCCTCCCTACAGAATCTGGAGACACTACCAAGGCCCACGCCGTCCTGCCACAAGCCTTCCTGCCGGGCTTGTTGCTGTGGTGGCTGAACCAGTGGCCATCACCTTCCTGAACTGAGATGGGGTGGGGGGAGGGCTGGAAGAGAGGGATCCAGGCTGGCCCTGGAAAACCAGAACTGGACACTGGCCATAGGCAGGAACCCAGGGACATGGGGACTCCTCATCCACTGGACTGTGGTCACCAAGGCCTCCTGGTGTTTGCACGGCTGAGCCCCTGCGGGGTGCAGGCGTCGAGACACAGCGGCAGGGCAGAGGCTGCGTCGACCGGGGGCACACATGCACGCACACACTGGTACACATGTACGCACACGCCAGCACACATGCACGTACATGCTGGCACGCATTGACACACCAGCACATGTACATGCATCCTGGCCACAAGCCAGGTGACAGGATGCGGGGCCATGTGATGAGGAGAGGATATCCAAGCACACGTGGTCCGCTCACCCTGACCTTGTACTCACGGGGAGGGCATGGGTGAAGACCCCAGCATCCTCTGCAGTTGGGGCGGGGCAGGGAGTCCCGGGACAATGAAACCATGCCCACCGGCTCCACAGGGAGTCGAGGAGGGTCGGGGGTGGCAGGGACCCCCACCCCTTCCAAGTCCTCGCCACCCACCTACCCTTCTCCCCTGTGGAAAGGAAGATATCTCTGCAGGAAACCAGGACCCTGTTGTAACTTTTTCTATTACAAAAGTGTAAAGAGTGTGTAAACCAGAGCCAATCGCCCCGCTTCCCACGATAATCCTGGTAAGAATTTACAGCGCAGCCTCCCCACCCTCTCCCTGCACTGGCCCAGGGTGGGTGTAGTAGTGGGGGGGGGGGGAGTGTGTTCTCCCCAAATCCTAATCCAGGTTTTAAGGTCTCTCCTTCTCCCATACCATCAGCACACGAGGACCAGCTGCTTTGGGGAGGTGGGGCTCTGAGGTCTGACAGAGGTGCGAGGGGTCCCCATCCCTCTCTGTTCGTGTGGCGGGAGGTGGGCTCACATGGACCGCAGGCATGGGAAGGCGACTCAGCTCCGGAGGGAGCGAGGTGGTAGGGGTCTTTGTCTGCAGAAAGCCCAGGGAGGTCTATGCGACGGGACTGGAGGAAACGGTGTTGACGGGTACCCCAGAGGGGAGAGTGGGGGAGAGGACTGCGGGGAAGGGGGAGGAGACCAGAGGAAGCAGGGTCTAGGTGCAGGGCACCCCAGATGGAGAAGGAGGAGAGAACTGCAGGTGGAGACAGGGAGAGGATGCTGTGGAGTTAGGAGCAGCTTTCAGACAGCTGGTCTACCAGCTGGCACAGGTGGAGCACGTCCCCCTCCTCAGCGGAGAGGAAGGAGGAGAGACGGGCAGTGGGAGGGAGAAGGCCCGGTGCCGGCCCCACTGGCTCTCCTCCTGGCCTGTGAGTGCCCTTGGTGGCTGCCCAGCGCTCCTGCTCCGTGCAGCTCTGACCGGCAGCCTCGCCCCAGCCCCCCAGCCAGTGCTGCCTTGATGGGTGGGTGTTTCCTTGGCAGCGCCTTTCCTGCTCAGACTTATCAGAGCATCTACAGCCCCCACCCCCTTATCACCGCCTCCATCTCCTTAGACTGGGAGTCCCAGGGCTGAGAGGCCATTACCACCCAGCTGCCCCACCCCCAGCCAGGCAGAAAAATGCCCCACACGGTGACCCTCCCTCCCCACTCCCTGGGCTAGAGAAAGAGTCCTTGTCTCATGCACCCCTCTCCCTCCCCATATTTATTTTCCTTTGGCTTCTCTGCAGATCATTGTGACCATCCATCACAGGCTCTGGAGCCACCTCTCTTTCTTACAGCAAAAGGAGCGGGTGTCCCTTGCTCCTGAAGCCCCCCAAGGAGGAGCGTCCCCAAGTGTCCCCACTCAAGCCTCAAATATCTTCATCGTCAGAAGGTTCCCAAGAAGCAGCAAGGCCCGGTGCGTGGAGTTGAGATTCCAGATTCAAAACGGACTTCCACTGTGGCACGAACAGCGTGTGGCTGGACAACCACATGCCCTCGGAGCTCCGGCCTTCTTGTCTGGAAAGTAGAGAGGACGCGGATTCTCCATGTACCTCGCAGGTCAACTGATGACTCTGCAGTCACATATTTCTACACCTCTTTGCATGTGCTATCTAACAATAAAATAATACTGCCTTATCTTCACTCATTTCTCCTGGCTCCCTCCTGGAAAGAATCCCAGACTTGGAATCCAGCTTTCTGTGCCTCCATCTCTGCTTAGGTCCTGCCATTCAACCGCTGTGGAAACGCTGGCCTCCCTGTCTGTCGGTCTCCTCTGACCTGCTTTTCCAGGTGTATGCCTCCAGGTGTGGGCTCCAGGAAGCTGCAAGGGAAAGAGGAATTGCTGTTGGAGCTCTTACAAGAAAGGGGCCGCCAGGGACTGTCCTTCGAGGTAGGGCAGAGGTGACCACAGGTGGACAGAAGACCCAGGGAAGCAGCGCCCGGGGTCTGTGAAAGGACCGACAGGCAGTGTAATTATTACCCTGACTTTACAGATTAGAAGACCGAGGTGCAAAATGCTCAAATAACTGGCAGTAAGGGGTCAGAGCCAGGACCCAAACCAGGACCTCCCAACCCCGAAGCCAGAGGTCTTCCTTCCCCCGACCCTGCCCCCCATTGGCGGGGCACCTGGTTTGTGGGACCGCCTTCCACCCATCCTTGCCCCTTCCGAATTCCTCTGCCCCAGCCCACTGCCTGGAGCGTGTCCCCTCCCCTTGCTCCCTCCCCCATCGCAGGCCCTGCACTGCTCCAGGCTCCGAGAGGGCTCCTCCCCCTGCAGGTAAAACCCCTCTCCCTGCTGCCTGCAGGGCCAGTGGCTAGTGCCCTTGCTGCGCCCGCACAGGCTCACACTCATACCCCACAGCCACAGCGGTCACAGGGAGACACCCTCACTGCACCACCCAGGCTCACACACACACACACACACATACACTCCACACAGCCACAGAGGTCACAGGGAGACACCCTCACTGCACCCTCACAGGCTCACACACACACCCCCCACAACCGCAGTGGTCACAGGGAGACACCCTCACTTCCAGCCTCAGCAGGTCCCGCATTCGCCTGGGAGCCTGCCGGGGCCTGGAAGAGGACATGGGGGTGCCCGCACCCAAGGCCAAGGGGCCCTGGGTCCAGCTCCAGAAAATTCTGACCTCCTGGCTCATCAGAGAAGGCGACTGGGACCAGCGCGTGGAAGAGGCCCACATGAGGCAACAGAAGAAGTGAGTGACCCTCACCTCCCCACAGCCCAGCCCCAGCCAGGCCCGTGGGTGGTGAGGGCAGAGGACGGCCAAGGTGGTGGTCAGCCTCCTGAAAGGGGGCACCTGGCAGAAGTGGGGTGTGGGGCAGAGGGTGTCCTGTGGGTCCCAATGCCTTTAGCTGAAAAGATGTCTATTAAATGGACATGCAGATTTCCATGGGATGGATGGAGTCTGCTGGGTGGGAGGGGGAGCAGAGCCCAGAGGAGTCCAGTTCACCAGCCCTCACAAGGACCCGCTGTGGGGCCATGCTGGGCTCAGCCCTGAGGGTGCACCTGGAGGAGCATTCCAGGGTAGCCTGGCAGGGACCCAACCTGCAGGTGGGCCTCCGTCCTGGGGTGTTTGGAGGACCCGGTCTCCCCTGAAAGCAGACATTGCAGGTTGGGGTTCAGTAGGGACCAGTTCAGGGTCACGGGGTCTGCGATGCCAGCCGCCACCCCCCCCCCAAGAAGGGCAGTGCCCGCTCAAGACCTGGGTCACATCCTGAGACGCCTCATGATCTGTGGCCAAGGCCCAGAGTCTTCATTTCTCACCCAGCCTTCAATGCACCAGAGCCGCCGAGGGAGAAGTAGGAGCCCTCCAGCTGGGAGGCTGCCTGCCTGCTGCAACCTTCACCCCAGGCCCTGCAGTGGGTCCTTCCACCTGTAACCTCCTAGGCCTCATACAGTCTCCTCAGGACAGGCCATGGACTCCATCTGCCCTGCTGCCCCACCCCCTGCCCTGGGGGACAGGCCCCAGGCTGAGGGGTTGGGGGAAGGCAGCCGTGCAGAAGGCAGGTCTGAGCATCTCCCCAGTCTGAGAGCACTCCTTCTCCTGCTCAGTGGCCTTGGGAGACAGGAATGGGGGTGGGGCCTTCTGGCTCCCACTTCTTACAGCCTGTCTATCACTCCGTCCTTTCCGCTGTCCCTCAGACCCTCAACCTCTGACCCTGTGTTTGCCTGTGGAGCTAACTCCGTCTCCAGGGCAAGCTCTTGGTTAGTTCACCCCAGCTGGGAGCAGGCAGTAAAGATCACCGCAGAGGAGTTGTGAGGGGAAGACCCCACTGGCCCCTAGTCAAGAGAAGCCCGAGCCCCCTCAGTCACACACAAGCCTTGGGACCCCTGAGTCCCCCGGTAAACATGAAGGAACAGACCTCTGCTCCACCCCCATCCTGACTCCGTGTCCATTGTCCCCCAGGATTCGGGAGTCTCCGCTGCTTCGGGCGGCCAAGGAAAATGACCTGTGTGCCCTGAAGGAGCTTTTGCTCGAGGGAGCCTGCCACATCCAACAGAGAGGTGCGTCCATCTGTCAGACAGAGCTGGGCAGAGCATCTGACCCTGCACCCAGGGCTCTGGGTGTTTTCACAAAGAGACGTGAAGGCGTCCACTGGCCCTTTTCCTCATGGACCTCTGGGAGCTTTGATGTCCCTGTTCCCTCCAGGAGCCCTGGGGGAGACTGCGCTGCATGTGGCCGCCCTCTATGACAACCTGGAGTCCGCCCTGCTGCTCATGGAGGTGGCCCCGGAGCTGGTCCGGGAGCCCATGGTGTCAGAGCTGTACGAGGGTGAGGCTGGTCCCGGGGGAGGGAAGGGCCGGCTGCACACTACAGGAGCGGGTGTTTGAAGTCGCCCCCGTGTGGGTGTTTGGGGAGCCCAAGCAAGAACCCGAGCCCTCTGTTCTTTCCTCCCCTCTGTCCGACTCCCTCTTCCTGTCAGTCAAGACTCAGGTCAGCAGGGCTCCTGACCCCGACTTGCCCAGGGGAGAGGGGAAGAGGCAGGCTTTCAGATCCCAGGTTCCCCACCCTCCATCCCGGCCAGCCTGGGGCATGGGCCAGGAGCAGACAGGGCAGGGACCCCATGGGGAACAGACAGCCCACTGATGCTGTCTCCGGCCAGGCCAGACCGCTCTGCACATCGCCGTCGTGAACCAGAACGTGAACTTGGCTCGAGCCCTGCTTGCCCACGGGGCCAGCGTCTCTGCGAGAGCCACAGGGATGGCCTTCCGCCGTAGTCCCCACAACCTCATCTACTTTGGTGAGACTCAGGGCGTGTGCCAGGAGGAAGGTGTGAGGAAGGGGCTGGAGAAAGGGTGCCAGGCAGACACATCGTCCCTGCTCTGGTTCTCTCCACGAGGGTCCCCGAGCTGAGATGTGGGGGGATGGTCACTGGGGACTGCCCCCCACTCTCCCACCCACGGCCTCTGCCCCCCAGGGGAGCACCCGCTGTCGTTTGCTGCCTGCGTGGGCAGCGAGGAGCTCGTGCGGCTGCTCATTGAGCACGGAGCAGACATCCGAGCCCAGGACGCCCTGGGTAAGAGGGGCTGCACTCTTGGGGGTGGGGGCCACACTGGGCCAGGGCATGGCGGCCTCGTGACACTGTTTCCCCTCAGGAAACACCGTGCTGCACATCCTCACCCTCCAGCCCAACAAGACCTTCGCCTGCCAGATGTACAACCTGCTGCTGTCCTACGACGGCCGTGGGGGGGACACCCTGCAGTCGCTGGACCTCGTGCCCAACCACCAGGGCCTCACCCCCTTCAAGCTGGCGGGGGTAGAGGGCAACACCGTGGTGAGGACGCCCACCCTGACATGCTGGCCCTCAGAGCTCCATGTGCTCAGACTCCCTGCCTCTGAGTCTCCCAGCCAGAGTGGGACCCTTTCTCATCTCCCAGTACTCTGGTCCCCTGCTGTCTGGCTGTCTCCTATCTCTCCCGCTTTCCCTCCCTGGGGTCTTGGGGGCTTATAGCGTCTGAACGCCACCCTGGGATTGTCCATAACTCCCATGCTCACCCGCAGAGCCCCAGCCCTCAGCCTCTGGGCTCTTTTCCCAAGCTCTGGAGGGGGTACGGGGTGGGGAGAGGGGCCTGAGTGTCAGTGTGCATGTGGTCCTTGTGCCCACCTGCACTGTGGTCATGGAGAGGTACAGCTGCCCACTCCAGCAGTCCTGGCCCCCCAGAGAAGCCCCACCACACTTGGAGACCATCCCCCAGGAAGGTGACCAGTCCTTCCTGGACTCCTCCCTGCCCTCCCCCCAAGATGTTCCAGCACCTGATGCAGCGGCGCAAGCACATCCAGTGGACCTACGGGCCGCTGACCTCCACCCTCTATGACCTTACCGAGATCGACTCCTGGGGAGAAGAGCTGTCTTTTCTGGAGCTTGTGGTCTCCTCCAAGAAGCGCCAGGTGGGGTGTCCAGGAAAGTCAGCCTCAGGGCAGGAACTGGGCTTCGGAAGTCTCTTCCGCCTTTGGGAGACAAGCCTGGTCATCCTCTGCTGCTCCACTCAATCCCTCCTGCCTCTCTTTCTCATGCTCACGTTTCAGATGAGCAAGCCTCCACACAGGAGTTGCTTCTATTCATTCATTCAGCATAGGGAGCACCTGCTGTGTCCCAGGTACTTCACAAGGAACAGAGATATAAGTAAAGCACAGCTCCTGTCTGTCAACTTACCTCCATTCGCAGACCCTAAATAATTACAGTGGAGCACCACCTCTACCATGATTGGGGTGTGTGCTATGTACTATGGCAGCAAAACAAAAGGAGGAAATGCTTGAGCTGGGTCTTCAAGGGAGTCCCTGGGTGGTGCAGATGGTTAACACACTCAGCTGCTAATCAAAAGATTAGAGGTTTGAGTCCACCCAGAGGCACCTCAGAAGAAAGGTCTAGCGATCTTCTTTGGAAAAACTAGCTACTGAAAACCCTATGAAGCACAATTCTACTCTGACACACATGAGGTCTCCATGAGTAGGAGTTGACTCGAAGGCATCTGGTATTCCATCCTGTAGCTCTATCAGGAGACCTAGACTGCTATATTATGGTGAAAATAGAGCCTGTCTGGCTAGAACATCTTCAACTTCCTGCCCCAACCTGCCAAGCATGTCTGCAGCCCACTCCCCATGTCTCCTTCCCTTCAGGTTCCATGGGGAAGGTACTCTTTCTGCTGATGGCTTATCCCTCCTACTGTGCTTGGAACCTACTCTTCCTACTTTCTGAGACCCTTGTCCTATCCATCTTCCCCCTCATTTGTGTCTTTAATTCTCACTACCTATTGTCATCAGAGCACCATCCTACCTGACCTGGGGTATTGCCACATCTCACCAACCGTCCCCTCTGTTGGTCTCCTCTGGGCCACAGGGACTGCAGGGCAAATCTGTCAGAACGCTCCAATTGCTCTCCATAGCATTCAGAAGAAAATGCAAACTCCCTACCTTGGTGTCAAACTGTAGGATAATCTGATCCTTGTCTCCTTCGCTCATTCTGACTTCCACGTACCACTCCCAACAGGTTCTCCCATATCCCCACCACACTGCATCTGTAAATGGGTAGTGGCTTCTCATACCTTCTGCCTTAACAACTGCTGCTACTTTGTGGAATGATCTTTCCCAGCTCTCCCCTCACTCAACCAACTGCTGCTCATCCTTCGAAGCCTGTCTAGTGCCTCTCATTGACGTCTACTGTAGTTTATCTGCAGTACCAGCCAAGGGCCCAGCATGTAGTGTAGCTACTGGTTTTCTGTAAAGGAAATGATTAACCGCCCTGCCCCTTTGGGTCCCAGTAGGAAGCCCAACACTCCTCATCATGTTGATCACCCCAAGCAACTCTCTCCATCCACGCAGGCACGCCAGATCCTAGATCAGACTCCCGTGAAGGAGCTGGTGAGCCTCAAGTGGAAGCGTTTTGGGAGGCCATACTTCTACGTGCTGGGCTTCATCTACCTGCTCTACATCATCTGCTTCACCATGTGCTGCATCTACCGCCCCCTCAAGTCCCGTGGAGGCAACCGCACACATTCTCGGGATATTACCATCTTCCAGCAGAAACCACTACAGGTGAATCTTCTCAGAGGGCGGTGACAGGGGCTAATAGCACAAGATGACGGTGCTGAAGACCAGAGTGATGCTACCCAGGAACAACACCACTCACTAGGCTCCAGGGTAGAAGTAAGGCTTGAGAAACGGGGGCCGGGGGGAGGGGGCTTAATGTGTAAAAGATCATGCATCCAGGAAGTGACAGCTTTTTTCATGAACTTTGAAGGAGTCCTTGGTATTGTGAACCTGGGACATCTGTGAAATGCCTCACCAGTTACAAAGAGGACCAACCCTTTGTAGTGGGAAGTTTAAGGGAACCCTGTTATTCTAAGGGAGGAAAATCATGCCCTGAGACACCTCAGTCCATTCTTGGGCTGTTAGGGCAACACAGAAAGCCCTCCTGGCCAGTGTTCTCTTTTGTGTACTGTCAATATGGGCCACTGCCAACGGTGTGTCAGCTGTCCCACCACCTGTCCCATACACTGCAGGATGCTGGGATTGGATAGCAACTTGAAATCAATAATCTCTGTGGCCCCTTTGTAAGCATGCCATCCTGTGATATCCTCAGGGACCTGGGGTTGTGGGGATGATTGAGATGTGGAGTAGATTTAACAGCCTGCTGCTGAAGGCAGCAAATGCTCCCTGGTGTGTTAAGAGTGAATAGACTCTAAAATGTACTTCTGAGCATAGGTACTCAACAAGCGTAGCTACATTTGGGGGCTGACTGTTCATGGGTGACCACACATTTTTGTCCTAGTAAGCTAAAATAGCTGGAAGAGGGTGCAGGCATGTGGGCAGAAAGCAAAAGACAGGGAGAGAAGATTTTGGAAGACAAGTCAGAACTGGAAAGTAGAGATTTATCTCTATGCAGAATGGGCTAGCCACAGGGAGAGCTTGCCTAAACCCTGGAAAGGGTAGTTTGGATCAGAAAGAGAAAATAAACTGCATGCCTAGTCAAGGAGCAAAATCTTTACATTGAGTAACAGCAAAGACAGTAGTATGTGCAGAGCAAGAACAGGCAAAGAGCCTCACTGGAACCCAGCTAAGAAGAGACACTCTTTCTCCTTTTCTGTAACAGCCTCTTTCTGTATACACAGTTCACACGTAGGACAAAGTAAGGTTTGCTGCCTTGAGAGGAAGGCCAAATGTGGGAGGTGTTTTGTTAGAGGGCAGTCATGGAGAAGCCATGTCCCATGTATCCATCCGTCTCAGCATGAAGGTCGGCCCTGGTGTGTAGACCACTTTGGGGAACAAGAACACGAAAGAGGCAAGAAGGTAGAGGAGTGACTAGAAATGGAGGAAGATCACACCGGGGAACAAGGACACTACAGGGACAAGCAGGTGGGGCTGACTAGAAATGGAGGAAGACCACACTGGGGAACAGGGACACTACAGGGACAAGCAGGTGGATGTGACTAGAAATGGAAGAAGACCATACTGGGAAACAAGGACACTACGGGGACAAGCAGGTGGAGGTGACTAGAAATGGAGGAAGAGCACATTGGGGAACAGGGACACTATGGGGACAAGCAGGTGCAGGTGACTAGAAATGGAGGGAGACCATATTGGGGAACAAGGACACTGAGGAGACAAGAGGGTGGGGGTGACTAGAAATGGAGGAAATGTATGAACATGGAGGAGTGGAGTGCTGGACTGTTGCATTCTCCTGGCCCTACTTCCTCAGGTGCTTTCTTCCCCACCTTCCTTGCCTCCCAGTGTTTGCTTGGAGATGTCCCAGGTATAGACTGTGGGAACGTTCTCCATGGGAGTTGGGTGATGCTGGTGATCGATTTTCTCCCATCTCCTTTGTGTGTATCTCCTTCTCTTTGAGGGGGGACTCATTGTGTACAAGCACGTTCCTTTGACCCAAACCGTCCCAATTATCTTGAACAGATCCCACCCCATTGCCTCAGGACTAGGAGAAGCATAATTACAACTAAGTGTCCTCTTCTTCCAGTTGCCATCAAGACTCATGGCGCCCTCGTGTGTCAGAGTAAAACTGTGCTCCATATGGTTTTCAATGGCCATGACCTTTCAGAAGTGGATCGCCAAGCACTTCTGGGCAGACTCGGACCTCCAACTGTTAGGTTAGCAACCAAGTACACTAAACATCTCAACACTGAGGGCCTCCCAAGTGCCCCTACCGTCCTTCTTTTTTCTTCCCAACACCTTCCTCCTTCCTCTTTAGCATTTTTATCCTTTTGCCTTTTGCTTAGGTAAAAGCGGCTTTGGACTAAATAGAGACTTTGGGCTTTTAAATGTTCTTATTTTGAGGTTGAGGGTAGGAGGTTCAGAATGCTGCAGTACGGGGCTTGGGTGGTGGACAACACCAACAAAAGTTCTCTATTCTTTGAAGATGCCATTGGAGCCGTGGTGCTGAGGTTATGGGGCATCCATGTGTCCCATAACTGACTCAGTAGCAAGTCAATTCAGATTAGATTCAGGGGCTCCCAAACTCATCACTGTGATTTGAAAGATTCTGCTTTGAAGATACATCGCATTTGTTGAATAACAGGAAATTCTCCTTTTTCTACTTTTTATCACTAGAAAGTCACAGAAAAGTGAAAATGCAGGAATACGGTGTCTCAACTGGATTCCTGCAATGGTTGACGTCTGCGTTAGCTTGCAGAGCTTTCTCTTGGATCAGTGGATACTTTCATATCCAATCGTATAGTAAGCCTGGAAAAGCAGGCCTCTCAGTCACAGCAGGGCCTCCTCTGTGGATCCCATGGGATCTGGAGGAGCTGCTGGGCCCATGACCCCTAAGTTTCCTTCCAGCTCTGAGAACAGCCCCCAGCACAGTCTCAGGACAGCTGAAATGGAAGGAGACACGTCCTTCTGTTTTCATGAAGTGGCACCCTCTCTAGTGCTGGTTCTCTCTTAGGTTTCCACGTAAGTAAAATGTTCAAAGTCAGCAAGTCAGCCTGCTTGGGTTTTAGTCCCAGCTCTGAAATTAAATAGCTGCTTGACCTTTGGCAAATCTCCTTGCCTTTCTACTTCTGCCACTTGCTGGGGGGGAAAAAAAAAACCACTGCATTCAAGTAGAGTGGTGGTTAAGAGCTTTGGCTGCTAACCAAAAGGTCAGCCGTTCGAATCCACGAGGCACTCCTTGGAAACCCTATAGGGCAGTTCTACCATACCCTATAGGGTTGCTATGGGTTGGAATCGACTCCACGGAAGTGGGTTTGTTTTGGTTTTTGACACTATGCTATAGGGTAACTATGAGTTGGAATCGACTCCATGGCAATGTGTTTATTCTGTGTTAATAGCAACGATTGTGAAGATGGCATAGGACTAGGCAGTGTTTCCTTCTGTTGTCCATGGGGTCACTGTGAGTCGGAACCAACTTGAAGACACCTGACAACCACTCTATGCTAAGAGTTCCCGGGTATCGCAAACAGTTAACATCCTCGGCTGCTAACTGAAAGGTCAGAGATTCGAGTTCACCCAGAGATGCCTCAGAAGAAAGATGTGGCGATCTACTTCCAAAAAATCAGCCATTGAAAACCCCAAGGAGCACAGTTCTACTCTGACTCTCATGGGGTTGCTGCAAGTCGGGGTCAACTCAACACAACTTTGCTGGTGCTGCACTCTAAAACGCTGCTCTGGGTGCTGGGAACCCACTAGACGTGATTTGGGCAAAACACACAGGCTTCTGCCTTTTTCGATTTTGCACTGGTTTACATTAATCATATAAATAGACATTTGATTACAACCTGTAAGTTTAACAGGGGCCTGGTTGCCGTGGGAGGCCAGGGGAGGCGTCTCCAAGAAGGAGACTGAGTGAGGCCTGGGTGCAGGCTAATAGGTGGACCCAATGTCCGAGGCAGTAGAACGCATCTCCTAAGGCCCTGGGACAGGTCAGGAGCTGAGAGGAGCCCAGGGCAGCCAGAGCAGGCTTCTGGTGAGCTTGCCTGGCAGTTCCTCCTCAGTCAAGCCAGGCTTTCGGCCCCATTGAAGATTTTAGTCTTGATCCTGAAGGGAACAGGAAGCTGTGGGAGGATCCTAGCAAGGGAGTGACTGTCCAGGTGACAAGGGGGCCAGGGAGGAGCTCATGCAGCCCAGCAGGCGATGACGGTTGGGCCAGGGGATGTGACGCGGGAGGGGAGAAGGCAAAATCATCATGACTGTGTGATGGGTTGGGTGCAGAAGATGAGGAACAACTCATAGGACTCCACTTATTTTAAATCGTGTCCCCCGTCACCTGTTCTTGCGGTATACTTGCCTCCCCATCATGATTCCTCATAAGGGCTGAACAACCCAAAACACCACGCTATCTGAGGATTCAGTTGGTCTCGTCACTACGATCTTGCTGAGGGATCCTTACCAGCTCACTGTGCAACAAGCGTGGCAGAGACAGGGAGAGAAGAGGAAAGCAGGTGGCTGGCAGGTCAGAGGATTTCAGAGTGCAGACCAGGGGAAGGCTCTGGGGGAAGATCCTTATCTCAGCTTTCTTCCTGGCTTTCCTTGGAGGTTTCCAACTAGCATCAATCTTCCATTTGTGCTTGCTTGCTTCTGTGCTTAATCTGCTCCTTGTGTATCTCAAAAGTGATTGCTTGAAGACACACCCTACAATGATATAGCCTCATTAACATAACAAGAAATCCTATTCCCCCAAATAGGATTCCATCTAAATGTATGTTGTTGTTGGGTGACCTTGAGTAGATTTCCACAGACTAGAACTGCCCCATAGGGTTTTCTAGAGCAGTAGCCCTAGTGGTGCAGTGGTTATGAGCTCGGCTGCTAACCAAAAGATCAGCAGTTCACATCCACCAACCCCTTCTTGGAAACCGTATGGGGTAGTTCTACTCTGTCCTGTAGGGTTGCTATGAGTCAGAATCGGCAGTGCGTTTGTTTGTTTTTCAGGTATATCTTTACAGGAGCAGATCTCCAGGTCTTTCTCCTGAGGAGCCACTGGGTGCGTTCAAACTGCTGACCTTTCAGTTAGCAGCTAAGTGCTTAACTGTTGCGCAACTGGGGTTCCTTATCCACATGTATAGGAGTTAGGATTCCACTACGTT